ATACTATGCACACCCCATTTACCTATTTTCCTTTTCTTGAATATTTTCTCTATTTTCCTCCTCTTTGTGATTCTTTGTTTTGGGATGCGTTTAGCCACAGATTTATTGCCTCAACAAAATCTCAACATCTATCCCTGAACAGGATGTGTGTCTTCCATCCCTTGATCGATGATATTTCAATATATTCACTGGCATCCCTCGCACTCTGTTTTTCCAACAATGCTGACCCTTGGGCTGCTGCCTTTTTGCATACGTATTTGGCAGCTGGGGTCGGGCCATCAATGACCACAGGGAAGGCTAATAGGATCTTCATTTGCGAACGATTTGTCCACACTCTTGGAGGGAGCACTCGACCACTTAGGGATGCAATGGATATGGATGGACGGCGGACAGTGGCTCAGGATAAAGTCATTGCATATGACAATGCAAATGTGTGAAGTGTCGGGTCCTTGGGCTTGGGTTCGTTCTTAGGGGCAGTTTGTCCATCTTCGACTGACCAACCCCGCGAATGACACGCGTCCGAGTGCTTTGATCGATTAGCGCTGGTCAAGAACCAGTTTTCGAGGGTTAAGGATTAAGCAAAGGGTTTGGAATGGTCGGTCGGGTGGTCAATATGGCACGCGATACCCGGGGGCACTGTCCTACCATCTATCTGTCTATCGGCGCATGTTGAGATCTCTTATTTGGGGTTCCATTTGGGTTCCCATTGATCGTTCGTTTGTGGAGTTCTTGAGAAATTTCCGTTAATTCGAGAACATATTTGTGTTTAACAAAATGGCCGACCTCTCGCCGAGGAGCCATAGCTTCCCAGGCGGGACGGGGTCATTGGTAAACATGCTGAGAACAAAATAGAAAGATAATTTGAATGCATGACCGCAAGGCTACCCTTTGAACCCGGTCGCCATTGTCCTGTCTGTCCAACTTTCATGCCTGACTGCCACCCCAAAGCTAGCAGACGCAGCAGCTTCGGGAACAGGATCAGGATCAGGACAAGGACCATCAGCAGCCGTTAGGGGACACCCAATACCCAAGCTGGCTAAACGAAAGGTGATGCTGCCGCCGCCTCTAGCCTCTATGCTTCCATGTTGACCAGATCCCGCTATGGACCGACATATGGTGCACATATTCTTCAATGGTCCCATCCTTTCATCCTTTTTTTTTGCTATACTGTTGAAATTTTCTTCGCTGCCTTTCTGAAAATTAATGCCGATGTCCAAACCGGTTTGCTTGTGATTTTCATTTTTGATTCGTGGCCACGAGTCCGGTCCGGTTTTGGGCGAGGAGATTCGTTGAGCGACCCTTCAACCCTTTTGTTACCTCTTCATGTACGCTTCCGAAAGGATGCGCAAAAGCGAGTTTAATTGCAGCATTCGGCTTTGCTCTGTTTTGCCTGACCCAAAGGGACGGGATTGTATGAGAAATCTTTCTCAAGTTTTTTTTATTCCTTGAAGGATTCCTTTGGAATAACCGTTATAAATTAGCCAATGTAGAAAAATAGGTAGGACTGACGGAAAATGGCGCAGTGTCGGCGTGACCACTGACCATCTCAATTACCCCTTGTTGTTGTCCCATCCACGCGCCCAAAGGATGTCCGGCTAAGATGACCACTGAGCACCCTCCAAGGCAAAGAGGTTGGAAAACCTGTTTGACTACCCAATAAGTAACCCATTATCCTTCAAGAATAGGCACGCGCGCTGACCATTGGTCAAGGCGATCCCTCTCTATTGTCCCTCCATAGATAATCTCCGATTTCACGCCCGTGTCCAGCTTATTCCTAAGATCCTACGCGTGTCCATTTGCATTTCATTAGCATTTTTAGATACTCGTACAATAGTCATCATTGCATCAGCATGCAACCAACTTCCAGCATTAGCCAAGGGTCAGCATTGTTGGAGAAACAGAGTGCGAGGGATGCCAATGAATATATTGAAATATCATCGATCAAGGGAGGGAAGACACACATCCTGTTCAGGGATAGATGTTGAGATTTTGTTGAGGCAATAAATCTGTGGCTAAACGCATCCCAAAACAAAGACTCACAAAGAGGAGGAAAATAGAGAAAATATTCAAGAAAAGGAAAATAGGTAAATGGGGTGTGCATAGTATGCCCACTGAATGAAGCGCCCCTCCAGAATATTCAGAATATTCAGAATATTCAGAATATTCAAACGATTTTTGTTTACTTTTTAGCATAAATCGTGGAGATTGTGAGGATCGAAGTGCCACAGGCAATTGTCGTAATGAGGGGGAAAGATGGGAGATACGCTATCCACTGGAAGTGCTGGAATTGTTCCCAGGGATTTTCTCACGTTGATGACATCAGTGATAACTCAGAGCCGTCTTCCTCCCGGGATCTGTTCAACATAGGAGAAAAATTCGCCAGCAATTAAAACTCTATAAGGTCGCTGGCTTTGAGCGATCATGGTGGCCCTATGGTGGCAATTCCCTAATTGATTTCCCAGTGTAATGCTAATTCTAAAGTTTAGCCCGAAATAATAATTGTCGCTTCGTATCCCCTGAATAAATGACTCTTCAGGACTAACTGCAATCAACCGAGCCGGCAGTAAAAACACTGAACGTGACTTACAAAAGTTTTCCATTTGTAACTGAATATGAATTTCTCATATGTAAATGCAAAAGCATAAAAGCAGGAATACTCTTACAATGAGAGCAACTATGAATGAGCCTACATGGGGAATTAAAACAAGCCTTGAACCGGCCTATGGATCGCCTTTATACTATGGAAACGTATGGGCTTTTGTCTGCATTTTCATGCAGATTTCCATTCCAGTTGCCATTTTGGCGTGGAACCTTTTTTGTAATCAATAGCACAGAACATGGGTTAGTTCCTATCTCTCCCTCTCTCCCTCTCTCCCTCTCTCCCTCTCATTCTCCGTCCCTCTCTGTGTTATCCATGTCACTCAATTATGGCAACAATTGGGAAATCCACTTCAATCCCGATTCGCCAACCAAGTGACAAACCAGCTCCTTTCCTTCCTCCTTTCCATCCTTCCATCCTTTCCACCGTGCCTTGCTTAGCTAGGACCGAATGCAAATGCAAATTCAAAATCAATCGATGGCCTCAGCCATCCTCAGCCCAGCCGTGGCCGAAGCGTCCCTCAGCTTCCGCCCTTCGCCAATCGATTTGTTCGATGTTCGAGGGATTTCCTCGCTGATTTGCATAAGTTTCCACACGGCGCGCGTGCGCAGTCGATCTGCGTGCCTGGAGTGTAATGTAACCCTCCTCCCCGACTCCCCGAGTTGCAGGTCCATTTGCATAACACTGGCTGCCAATGAGCCCGAGGATGAGGTTGGTGCGGACCTCGATTCGATCGTCTCACCCGCTCTGGCCCCGGGCGGGCTTGCTAAAATTATGCAAATGCTTCTGCGTGCCAATATTTTACAACAATAATTTATGCAAATTACTTTCTGCGAGGGAATCGGTGCGCCTGCGCAGCGGATGTAACATGTCGCCTCCTTCAAATGGAAAGCGGTTCCTCGAAGGGTTTGCTCTTGCTCGGATTTTCTGCAATGGTTTTTTTTATATGCAAATTTTTTTTGCAACGGGTCTATGAAAATTTGGGTATTTTTGCACGATTGTAATGCAGATTTTTTGCTCGATTGTAATTTTAATTTTGAAAAATTTTTCTATGGCGCAAAAATGTATGTTTTATTTTTTTGCATTTGAATGGTTTTCATTCGATTATGTCTCTGAGGGAGAGCAGCTGCTCCAGTTCTACGGCGCGCCAATCCTTTGGATTTTGTTTGTTCTCAGTTTTGCCGAAATTCGCCCGAGCAATTTGCATAGAGAAGCGATCCTCCATGATCCTGAATGGACAAAGATGCGGCATGTACACTTTGTGAGACTTTAGATTCGATTATAGTCGTGGAAATCAGTCAATGCTGTTGGGTAAAAATTGTAGATTGAATTTTGCTAGTGTGGGAAAAAATATATTAAAATTATTAGGCAGCTAGCTTAGCTATTATACACATATATATAGTGGGGTGAGATGATGAAACAAATCGTGATTACGGATGTTTGAATATTGAACACATCGAATACCGCTTGCATTCATGTATCCCATTAGAACTATCGCAGTAATGCATTTTTCATTCAAAAAAGATTCGTATTTCAACATTTACACAAGAATCTACACTCTGCCAGCTTTCGAAATACGAGTATGTCTACTCTCAACTTTACTTAATATTAGCTGATCATCATTTTCTTTTAAAAATATTTATAAATGCATGCATAGTATGTACAAATGTATTCCTATGTAAACAATTTTTATGAAATTCCCTCACTCATCTATTTGCTGCTCTATAGTTTCCGCTCTCGCTCACTCATTTGGTTGAGACACATAGATTCCTCTACATTCTCTCCTCTCTTGCATTCAATGACATTTTTTACCTAAAAAACTCTCTTTTCCAGATAAATTTACATGAATGCTGGCATTTTATTGGTCGAGAAAAAAGTAACGAAAAAACGGCACCAAACCGAAAACACGTAACGCAAGGCAGCGACGAGCATTGCATTTTCCGAGAGCATTTTCCGGCTAAGGGTCGCTAAAAAACTAGGGGTTGAGCGGCCAGCCCAGCCGCCACAACGGGGTTGGTTGGCTGCTCGACCGTTTTTTAAGAGAGTCGAGAGCGAGCGAGATCGTTTGTGGCACAGAGTGTGGCAGCAGAGGAGAGGGTTGCAGCTCGAAGTTTGGGTTCGAGTTTGCGCAACTTCTGCTATATTAGCTGGCGGCCGTGGAAGAGTTGAGACACTCGAAGCCGAACTTCGATGATCGCCAGACGGCCGTGCTAGACAGTCGATCGAGGACGAGATTTCCGTGTTCCGCTGTGTTCAACAAACTGTGCTGTGACAAAAAACCAACCAAAAATCTTCAAGATCGAGGCCAAATCTTAAGAATTTTTTAAAACGAAAGGCGAGAGTTCTTGGTTCAGTGCTGTGTTTGACTAGAAAAATAAATAAATAAAAGTGCTTTGCCAGAATGTCCAATCAAATGGAGTTTATAATGCAACTTTATATGATGAACTTGCTGCAGCAGCAACAGCAACAGCAGCAGTTGCAGCAGCAGCAGCAGCAGCAGTTGCAGCTACCGCAGCCCCAACAACAGCTGGCTGGATACACCTACACACAGAACGAGGACATCTCCAGCAGCACATGCCTGCAACAGCAGCAGCAACATGAACAGCAACAGCAACAGCAACAGCAGCAGCTCGAACCTCTCAAGACAAGAACGCACAAACGCATTAGCTCGCAAAACACGACCTATAGTACTCTTAGTAGTCGTAGTTGTAGTCCCAATAGTAATTTGATTGCTCTTCAACAACAACCATTTGCCCATGCTGCAGCATCCACGCCCCCAGCACCTAACCACTTTGTTGGCCAGATGTTGCTCAACACATTGCCCCCCCTGACGCAGTTCATGCTGCAGCAGCAACAACAACAGCAGCAGCAGCAGCAACAGCAACAGCAACAGCAGCAACACTTGTTGGCAACATCGAACCTCCTACTAACACCCACCCACACGCCCAGCTCCCTGAAGCAGGAGCAGCTGCAACAAAACATGATGCTGGGCCAGTTCTCAAACGCAGTAAATGTCGAACAGCTTACCACAAATAATTTTTTGCAATCATCCACAGTGACATCAACGCCAATCGAGAACGCAGCGCAACATGCTGCCGACGCAGCCATCACTCCAGCAGCAACATCTGCAGTGGCTCAGGGGGCGCATGTTGCCAGCAGCCTTTCGGCCGTCACAGTCAAATTTGAGCAGGATTTCGACGATGAAGATGAAGATGATGATGTTGACGATGACGATGACGATGACAAGCCGCTGTCCAGCCTGAACAGCTGCAGCTCCTCGGGGCTGGTCAGCACCAATGCCAGCTCCGAGAAGCTGCTGGTGATGTCGGGCGTGCAACCGTTGGAGTCGACGATAGACAGCGTTGACTCCCCCAGCATGGTAAGTAGTTCGTTGGATCACATTGGGGGGGATCCATTGGTATTCCTACAATGGGAATAGAGTGAAGACAAAGCTTTATTATTCGAATTGTCCATGTCTCTCTTTTTGAACTTTAAATGGTGGGTGATACATGGAATATATGGGGAATATCCCACGCTTTTGTAATTCGAGTGATACACCAAACGATTCGTGATTCAAGAACTTTTTTTCGGTTTGCTTGAGTTTGAGAGTAAACAGAAAGATCTCGATTCCAAAGAAAACAAACAGCTGTGTCGGCAGCGCGCGGGGTGCCAGCTGTGGGCACCAGGCAGTCTGTCCGAGACGAGACGAGACGAGACTCAACTATCTTATGTAACATCGTTCTCATCTTCTCCTCTCGCCTTGCAGTACACTCCCGTCAAGCAGCCGGCGGACTCATCGTACAACATCACGCCCCTCGACAGCGAGCTCACTCCAAACACCCCCATAGCCCAGACCCAGACCAACTCCCTCCTGACCCCGCCCTCCAGCGAGCAAAGCAAGAGCATTGTCAGCCTGTCCACGGCGAGCAGCCTGGACGCGTTCCTGCAGAGCGAGGATAGCTTGAAGAACCTGCGAAAGGTGTCCTCGTATCTGGAGTGCGAGAACAGCCTGTGCCGGCAGGAGAACTTTCGCGAACATTTCCACTGCCACGACGAGCCCTGCCAGGGCAAGATCTTGAGCAAGAAGGACGATATCATCCGGCACCTTAAGTGGCACAAAAAGCGCAAGGAGAGCCTCAAGCTGGGCTTTGCCCGCTTTTCCTCGGCGGACGACTGCGCCCCGACCTACGGCAAGGGCTGTGCCTACAACTGGAAGCAGACCCACTACCACTGCATCTACGAGCACTGCCCCAAGGTGTATGTGAGCACCAGCGACGTCCAGATGCACGCCAATTTCCATCGCAAGGACTCCGAGATAGTCAACGAGGGCTTCCGACGCTTTCGAGCCCACGAAAACTGTCGCATTGAGGACTGCCCCTTCTTCGGCAGGAAGATATCGCACTATCATTGTTGTCGCGAGGGTTGCAACCACACATTCAAGAACAAGGCTGATATGGGTGAGTGTCCAGCGTAGAGCCATGTTGGTGGTCCATGTTGAATAGAAATTTAATCGGGATTATCTGTCCGCTCCTCAGACAAACACAAGACCTATCACCTGAAGGACCATCAGTTGAAGATGGATGGCTTCAAGAAGATTCTGAAGACGGAGGCCTGTCCCTTCGAGGCTTGCAAGTTCTCCACGGTTTGCAACCACATCCACTGCGTCCGCGAGGGCTGTGACTACATCTTGCACTCCAGCAGCCAGATGATCAGCCACAAGCGAAAGCACGATCGGCAGGACGGTGAGCAGGCTTACCAGCAGTTCAAGAGCAAGCAGGAAGTGGAGGAGTCCTCGCTGGAATCCGCGCCCCAGCCAACCGCCAGCGCCACTCAGCCCCCGATCAGTGCCTCCAGCAGCAGCAACACCTCCACCCCTCTCTCCTCTCTCTCCGCCGAGCACTTCCTGGCCCGCAAGCGCGGCAGGCCACCCAAGAAAATTGTGAGTATAGATCACATGAGTCCTGCTGGAACATAGTATCTGATATATATCGTATGTATGTACATTTATCCATTCACAGCAACTGCCCGCCGATGCTCAGCAACCAGAGGCGAAACGTCTCAAAGTCGAGGATGATTCCAGCAATCAGACCATGCTCCAGACCCTGCAACAATCCATTCCCCAATCTTCTCTCAACCCACTCGCCAATGGACTGTTTCCCGGCCTCCTGCCAAACTTCAATGTTGGTGCCACCGCTGCCGCTGCAACTGGGGCAGATGCCATGGCGCCAAACTTCCAGCTGACCCATTTGATGGCCCTCTTCCAGCTACAGAACCCCCTCTTGTACCAAAACCTCTATCCCGCCCTCCCACAGAACACCTCCATGCTGGGAAACTTGGCTGCCTTCAGTGCTGCCTCGGCAGCGGCGGCGGCAGCAGCAGCCGCCTCCGGGGGGCAGCAGCCCAAGGCGGAATTTAGCGTTAAGCCAGAGTTGAAGGAGTAGGCCCGTGATCCTGCCCAGAATTTCTTGGGGTAGTTTTTGTATATATGTATGTGTGATAGTTTGACCCACTGACGTTGACGATTCGATGGACAGCAGCCAGGCGCGCGCTTTAAGCAGGTCCCTCCTCCTCTTCCTCTGACGATTTCGGGGTCAGCTAGCGCTGAGGCAGGACCGTCCTTTACTCCACAAAAGCGAACTCCGCTGCACTCTGATGAGATTCGCGATGCTCATCAGAGTGCTGCTGAATTTGCTTTTTCAAAACAGTTTTATCTTAATGTTGATATTTTTTAAAATACGCGTATTCTTCCCTTAGACTAGTTTCATCGAGTGCAACGTTAATTTAAAAAATTTTCAGCCATCCTTAATAAAAAACGAAATTCTTGAATTTTAGTTTGACTAAAAACTGTGATGTTTTCATTAGATCTGACCCACTTGCTTGCTAGTTAGTTAGAATGCTGAAATGGCCTGACTTAGGAGATTTATTTGTCAATAAATGTATGTGATATACCCACCAATAAAATAATACAAATTGTTTAGACTTTATCCATTAAGATATTGATAAAATAAAAATGTAAAGCCCAAGTAAATGGTCCTGATTGCCATCCTTAATTTAATGGTTTATAATCCCGAATAAATTATCATGCCAGACTATTTAGGCTTCTTAAAATAAGCGTAATGAATGCTTCTGTTTTACGGACCAATGATCCACCCATGTCGCGAATATTTAATTGAAAGACTCAATCTGGTATCGATTAAATAATTTTTGTTGACTTTATTACTGTTTTCATATAATTGCTGTTGATTTTACTCATTTTCTAACCCAAATCAGCTAAACAAACTCCGGGCGCCCGATGAAAAGCATCCCGGCTAAGCAATAGATACATAAGTTAAGTACCTGACACAGAAGCAATTTGTTTGTTTTGATGTTTTTGTATATATTTTCCACATTTTATAGTTATTGCATATAGTATGTTTGTAATTAAATCAATACAATCCAAGTACCATAATCGTAAGAGAAGAGATTTCAGAAAATTTTATCCTACTCGTATTTAAGAACCCTACTCGTATTTACAAGCGAATCTCGCCGGAATACAAGTGTCGTTTTATACATTAGTTTCTCATTTAAGTTTAAATTGCAAATAAAAACCCTGGGGAGAAATGTACAATAGAAATATAGTTACAACTTAGGACAATGTTAAGAACTAATGTACTATACTAAATGTAACTAAAGCAACGAAAATCGAGTAACAACAAGTAGCTACTAAGTAAATTCGTTAAACATTAAGGTAATAGTGAAAGAAAAACTAAACTAAACAAGCTACAGACTCTTTTATTAATGCCCCGTTTGATTTGGTTTATTTTTTTTCGCTGTGACTGTGGATGCGGCGTGAGGTTATACATCTGACATATTTCGTCTGTCAAGCATCGATTTCAAAAAGGTAGCCAAATCTATAAAACCTTGAAAAAGCATTTGTCCAATTCCTTCGTATAAGCATACTACATACTATACATGTAGGAGTGTGGGGTATATATTATTCGGGGAGTGGGGGTCAGTTTATAACGATTGCGTGACTGGCGGAGCAATATATATGGCAACATTTTGTGCGCGCATTGACACAATTTGAAAACGAAGTAGTTATAGGTTGACTTTATATCTAAGCCGCAACAGAAGTTCATGAGTAGCATGGGTAAGCTGTCCGTCCGTGTCCAGGTCCTGGATTCTGCTCAGGGGGTCGGCTCGGGATAGAACCCGCGAAGCAGCTTGCTGATGAATCAAAACCGTTAGCTGCGGCCGGTAGTCGCTGCAGGAGGTGCCAGCTCCACCGGAACAGGCGCCACACCCACAGACGACTCTGTGCTGGACTGGTGCTGGACACCTCCAAGAGGAATCGCTCTCATGTGGTGCACAGGACGTATCGACTTGAGCTGGGTGGTGCCCTTGAAGCGCACATTCACATCGCCGCCCACCATGCTGAGCGGGTGCATGGCCTGTTCCTCCTCCTGTGGCATAGCCGCAATAGTCACTACGGGTGGCACCTGCTCCATTGGCCCCGGCGCCGGTGCGGTGGTGATGGCAACGGCGCTGCTGCCGTACGTCTGACGTGTCGCTAACGGAGACAGCGCTGGAGGCGTGGTCTTGTAGCCCATGCGACTGAAAATACTCCCCCCGCTGCTGTTACTCGCAGTACTGGGCGGGCTGAGGGGCGTGCCCACGCCAGAGTCCACCTCCAGTGGACTCTTGATATTGGCGACGAACTTATCCACGTGCTCGGGCAGCTTTAGTTCGTCCAGCTTTGTTTGAATGACGGTCCGCGCACTGGCATTGTCGAGCAGGCGATTGGGCCGCGAGGGTGGTGTAGGCGCGACAGCGGAGACCACCGGCTCATTGGCCGGGACATTGCTAGATTGACCATTCATGCGGTGCTGCTGCTGCTGACGCAGCTGCTCAAAAAAAGGTGTCTTCTCCTTCTTCTGTTTTTGTGGCGAACCATGTTCGTCTCTTTCGGTCAGCTCTTCGAGCACCTTGAGGGGAAACCCCAAGTGACTGTTCACTGAGATGGATTTGCCGATCTTTCGGTCGGCAAAGACCGGCCGGCGGCGCTGTCGTTCTAGGTCGTCCAGCTGCTGGAGCATGCGTCTCACCTCGTTGGGCAGCTCCAGGTCGGGATTGTGCTCCACCAATTGGCCCACATATCGGCCCAGCGTCTGTATGGTCAGCTCCAGCGACTGCACTTGCGACTGCAGCGAAGTTATCTGGGATTGCTGGGAAGAGCGCGTGGTTTCCAGCTGAGCAATCGAGGATTGAGCGAACTGCGGAAGGAGGAAGTAAGTACCGAAGGAAAGTAAAGACATCGATAGAGAACGAACCTGCAGCTGCTGCTCCAGATGCTGATTCTGCGTCTTTTCTCTGTTCAACATCTCCAGGTGATGGTTGGTGGTTGTGATCTCCTCTTGGAGCACGTTGTACTCCACGTTGTACTCGGCCAGCTGCTTGCCAATGTCCATGGAGAAGACCAGCTTCATGATCTTCTCCATGCAGTTGGGCTCGATTTTGGGCACCACCGTCTTCAGGTAGTCCATGATTTCCTCGAAGTTATCCTTGGCGAGCAGCTGCTGTTTGTGCACGGAGAGCAGTGCAATGGAAAACTTGAAGATCACGTCGGAGGACTCGAGGAAAATCAGATCGAAGACGCGGGCCACGAAGCCCAGGGGGAACTGGGAGCTGAACACAGTGAGGATCCAGGGAGCTGCGTACAGAGTGGGCGACACATCGTTCTGATCCAGCCACACATACAGATCCGGCAGGTGGTCCTTGACCAGGCGCGAGAGCTGGTATAGTTGCAGCTGAAACTTCTTCATGTCTGGCAGGTATTTGGTGCGCATGTTGCGGCGGAACATCAAATGCTTCAACAGCTGGAAGGCGTTGGCCTCGTCGCACTGCAAAACATAAGTTATATTAGGACACAGGATGCCAGGAGCTTCTGCCAAGCCAAGCCTACGTGCAACAGCAGAACGCCACAGATGAAGCCGAGACCCTGGCAGTAGCCCAGCTCTGGGTCGAGTATGGAATAGGCCTTCAGCAGATTGAACAGCGAGAGCTGTCCCAGTCCCAGGGGATCCTTGTAGAACTGATGGTTGGGAAACGTCCTGCCCAGGTCTATGAAAATAGCGTGTTGGTGCTCCGTGAGGTGCTTCAACAGCGTGTGATATGGCGTGTTGAAGTTGGGGAATCGCTTGGTGTCCACCGGCGCCGTGTTCATGGAATGCTGTTCTGCTAGGAAGGTCCACACATCACCGCGCTTCGACCGAGGAACTCCGGTTCGGATGGCATGGCCCAGCACCTTGGGGTCCTTTTTGTTGCCGATCTGCGTGGAGTTGCGCTCGATGATCTGCTCCCAGCGCTCGATCAGCTGCTTGTCGCACGGCACTATCTCCTCATAGTCCAGCTTGATGCGCTTCAGCTCGTTCTCGTTTTGGCGCAGCTGCAGCATGGCATTTTCCGTTTCCATGCGGTTAAGCATGATTGTCTGCCGAATGGCCGTGCGCCACAGCTCCCGCAGCTCGGCCGCATCGCGCTTTCCCCTCTTCGCAGCTGCAATCGGACAATGCCAGCATTATCAAACGACAATTGAATGAAAGACAATGAAATAAAAAAACTTACGCTTGCGCATGGGCGACAGGAATTCAGTGGGCACCTCGCTGTCTAGCCCCTTGGAGGGGGTGACTACGCTGTTGAGGATGGCCTGCCGCCAGGAGCCCTGATGTGTCTCTGCCTCCTTGGGGCTGTTGCCCACCTTGATGAATCTGCGCGCGGATCAGAAAGGGTGCCATCAGTGGGACAATCAGTGAAAATTTCGAATGACTCTACTCACATGTCCATCATGGGGCTCTTGAGCTGATCGGCGGTGGGCTTGTTGCTGGGACTCGCTCCCACGGTGTTCGAGCGAGATCGGAAGCCCTCCGGAGGCGACTCGGTGCCTAGGGGTTCAGCTGAGCCCTCCCTTATGTCGCGCAGGTTGTGGGGCGGCACGGCAATGTCGTCCTTGGAGGGCTTGCGCTTCAAGAGATTATCGAATGAGTTGGTCAGGGAGCGCTTGGCCTTCATGAAGATGGTGCTGCCGCCGAGATACTGGTTGAGGAACTCTGAGCGGTTCTCCGCGGTGTCGTGTACATGCCGCTGCTGTCTGGACTCGCAGTGGGCACGCAAAAGCATCATGAGGAACTGGTTCTGCTCGGCCACCGGGGAATTGGTCTTCTCGGAGCCACAAAACTTGGCCCACACGATCTCCTGCTCATCGTCGCTTAGGGTCTCGATCCGACGCAGGATCAGGGCCTGTGTCTTCTTCTCGGACAGTCCCTCCACGTCCGTGCAGAGCTTGTGGTACCACAACATGGGGCAATGCTCGCAGCTGAAGATCTGCGTCTCCTGCTTTTTCTTCTGCTCCGCACAGGTGTCGAAGGCCTGGGCGATGGCTGCCACAATGTCGTCGCACACGTGC